CCCCAAAACCCCAAAACCCCAAAACCCCAAAACCCCAAAACCCCAACATGTTTATAAAAATTTGAATTTAGTATATATATGGAACAAGAAACCTCTCCTAAAGCATCTACTGAGGATCAGACGCCTGATCCTCAAGCAAGAGCTCAGAAACAGAAGTTTCTTTTGGAAAATATAGTGAACCCAGGCTACAAGAAGGAGTTATTTGCTGCTTATATAGCAGACAAGAGGGAAAATGGAGGAGATATAGACAACTGGAGTCTAGAAGAACTTAAAGAAGTCGTGTATGATTTCCAGAATTCATATGAAGTGTCCCTTAACTCTGATGAGAACAATGACTCTTATGAAATTGATTATCATGAGTCGCCAGAACTTTTTGGAGATGGAGCAAGTCAAAATTGAGACTCTCAGAATGTTAATTCTGAGTTGAGTTATACCAATGATAGTAATTCTACAAAGCATCCTGTTGAAGAAGATCAAAAGATATCAACAGAAATATCCAAACATCAAGAGGGAGGCGAGCAGAGAATGAGAGCATCATCAATGTGTGATATTGAAGATACCACTAGAATATCAGACCTAACTGCATTTAATAAAGTTCCTGACCATTCTATAACTATTACAGACGCAGTTCATAATTCAGGAGGCCTTTTCTCATTTTCTTATGTAGAATACTACATTGAAACCCAGCCATTTGGGTGGAATGTCAAAAGGAGAGAGCAAGATTTTCAGAGATTGAGAAATTATCTCTTAAAGAAGTTTCCTCAATTTGTAATTCCACCACTGATCCAGAACAAACTCTTTGAAATGCAGTCAGACAAGGAAACTAAGAAAGTGTACTTCCAGGAATTCCTGAGAGAAGTTAGCTCGAATCCAGAACTCTGAGCATGTAAATTCTTGGAAGAGTTTTTATCTATCACTGATTATGAGGGATTCAAAGAAGTCCGAAGATTACGAGAAAAGGAGCCTGCTCCAAAATCCTTGAAGGAGTATACTAACATTAAAGGTATTGCAAAGTTGACTATCAAATGTCAGAATATAAAAACCCTTGACCATTACGATAAGTTCTTTATTAATAAATATGAACAGATCTTGAAGGACCTGAGGACTACTTCTAACCAGATACATATGAATGCACTTAATTTAGCAGATTCCATTAAGAAATTCACACTGAACCTTGATACTTTAAGTGAACTGTTCCAAGACTGAGGCTTTACCAGCAAAGTCCAGTTTTATGAGGACTTAAAGTCAGTAACCAAGACATATGAGGAATCGGTTATCCAACAAGCTGAGACTTTGGTAAAGGAGCTAGACCTCTCTCTCAACTTTCAAATTTTGCAAGCCAACTCATTCAGAGAGTTCCATAAACATAAAGAAGAAGTGGACTACGAGCTGCATAAATTTGGTAATGATTTACTGTATAAAAAGGATCAACTATGGAACAGCAGGGAAAAGCCAGACACTCATAAAAAGTGGAAACTTAATAAGAAAGATCTTGATAATATCAGTAAGTTGCTAGAGAATGAGGCTTTGGCTAGGACTAAGATGCTGCCTAAGGAAACACACTTCTACTGGGATAAAAGTAACCAATTTAAGCATCTCCAACACAGATCTTTAAAGGAAATTGAAAGGTGTAATGACGTACTTGGTAGCAAGCTCCAGAAGTTATTTAATAAGATTTCAGCTGAACAACTTAAAATTGTAAATAAGTAAGTCTCTTAGAGCTATTTATAGGCTGCATGTCAGCTGGGGTGACTATCTCGGAGAATACATAGACACAGAAGTCTCTTCATACAATAATACACCTTGCAAGGAGGAGGCCAAAGAGGGAGAGGATTCTGAGAATGAAGAATTAGATAATATCAATAATTAATAATTTCCTGGGGTTTTGGGGTTTTGGGGTTTTGGGGTTTTGGGG